TTTTCAATTAAAAATGGAACTTCTAGGATTAGAAAAAAAATGCCCCCAAATAATAGCAAATGTATGCTTTTACAACAGAAAGGACTGCAGAGAGGGCTTTTTCATACTGAGCCTCAGGATTTACTTTCAGGCAAGTTTTTCTCCTCTGCCTGGTTGCTTTGCAGTAGCAGTGCTAGCAGGGGCTCCTCCGTGCCGAGGGAGATGCCGGTGAGAGGCAGCAGCGGTTCCTCCCTGCACCCACCAGAGCACCCTCATGGGACCACAGGCCACCCGTGGTATTTTCCAAGGCTGTGGAGGCTGCTCCGTGCCACCCAGCCAGCGACGGGGCCTGAAGAAACATTGTGGGCCCTTCACTGAGTCTGAAATACCAATTGCAATGCAAGCTACGATCTCAGAGGGTTACAACCGGCTTTTTGTGGTCAATTTGCGGATTTTTGCCTCATGCTGGTGGCTCACAGCCAGTTTGTAACTAATCACCGATTAGTGATCCCAGCCCTATGGAATGAGCATCCTCCATATAGCAGGAATTTTTATTAATAAGTACCGCAGTGCATGACCCTGCACTTCAAATTGGAGGAGGAGGATGACAGGGCCAATCACTGCTGTGGTGTCGGCGTTCGCTACCCACTTCGCAATTGCTGTGGGAACAGGTCGATGGCTGCACAAGCAGAGGTGTTCCCTTTCCCAAAAGTTTGGCATATTTTTCGTCTTAAATTGTGGAGCGGACTTCACAAAACAACTTTTATAACTGTAAAAAGTACTGCTTCCTTATTTGTATGCCATAGCATATTGCTGTTAAGCATTCAGCTTTGGATTTGTAATATGTTGGAGAACTAGTTCTTAATAAACAAAAACAAAGGGAGACTGGTAGGTTTAAGCTGACTGAGTGTCCTTCAGTGTTGAAACATGTTTGATTTAAGCACAGAAGGATCCATTAATGCCAATTTATGATCTATTTTTAGAGTAATTCCAAGCGATTACTATTCATATGACTGAAGCACCCAGGCTGAATCTTAGCCAGGCAATAAAAGGAGATTTTTGTAATGCCAGAGAGACTCTTGAGCAGATCTGGAGGAAAACACAAACCAACTGTTAGCATGATAAAGCCATGCACACACTAACTCAGTTTCTGGAGCTCTTGATAACTCAGGAAACATTCATGCTGGAAAATCAGATGTAAACTGCACATTGGTGCAGCACTGCTGCTTTGTAATGTCTGGGGTTCCATGCAGTTTCGGTGCAGGGAGAGGCTGGAAATGAGCTCACCAGTCTCCGTTCCCTTCTTTACTCTCAGCAATGAAGTATGTGAGAAATACCGATGCGAAGTTTCCTGCGGAGACATCAGGCAAAGAGAGAGGGACAGATGCGTACGCTGGCAAACACTCTTAGAGGTGAATACATGTTCACAAAATCCCTCGCTCTCACACACTCAGTGTCTTTCTTTCCCTTCTTCCCACGTGGACTTTAAGCGAGCCAAAGTCTCATTTTCTTTCCTTCCCCAGTTCTGCTCCTCCTGACACTCCTTTTCCCTCTGATGTCTAACTTTTGTCTCCAGCGTTTCTTTTCCTGTTGCAGGACTCTCGAGGGAGGAGTGCTGCCGCGGGGCCCGCGCAGGTGCCCCCGCCGGGCAGGGCGGCCGGGAGGGCGGGCTGGGCAAGGCAGCTCAGACGCTCGGTAGCCTCCGCCAGGCAAGCCCTTCAACATCACACATGTGCGTTGCTCCAGATTAATTCTAGAGTGATTAACCAGGTCAGGAAGGCAATGGGGGAGTGCTTTTGTGTCCAAATGAGGGCAACAAATATCAGGATACCTGAGCTAGCCATAGGGGAGTGGCAGGGTAAGACAGAGGGGGGACAGGAGACCCCTTATCCTGCTGGAGCAGCACCTGGGGGCCAGGCAAGATACCTGAGGGTGCCTAATGGCACCTATGCTTAGACACCTTGGAAGGAGTTGTAGGTTAACCACCTCACAAGGGAAAGAAGTCCTCAGCACAGTGAAAAATTATGCCCTGCAGTCAAGCTTTACACTTCAGAAAAATCATTTTAGGCTAAGAAAGCAGAAAGGAAACAGGCAAGGAAACTAATAACCCCGCTTTCATAAAGCATTTATTTTTTTTATTTGAAAACATTATACAGGCATTACATTGCCACAGCCAGTCCATATAGGAGCATGCAAATATCAAAATGGAGAAAGGTGTGTTCAGCTTTTCGATGCAGGATTTGGGGTTGGGATTTTGTTTGCTTGGTTTTGGTTTTGGTTTGTATTTCCATCTGCGGTGTCAAGATTAGTGTGCTTTATTATGGCATTTAACAATAAAATCCTACCCATGGGGTAAAATTTGTATTTGTAGCTAGCGCAGGAATACTAAATGGTTTTAAAAAAAAGGAAAGAAAACGATACTACACGCTTGTCAAAATGTTAATAGCACAAGTTAGCAATCTCTACACTATACATTGAAACTTCTTCTTCTGACACAGTGGTGCAAAATTTTCAATTGCTTGGTCTATTGTTGTGTGTTTTGAAAGTTTATAGCCGGAACAAAGACAAGGTCTGTCTCCCAGTGAAGGTTTTCATCCAGTAGCAGAAAATTACATCAGTCTTGCTAAGGGCTGCTCAGGGCCAGCAGTATAACAGAGTTTCAGTTTGTTTGGGCAAGGAGCTATACGGAGCTAAAGACGTCCTACGCAACACGGAGAGTAGCTGCCGGTTAGATAGCCGAACCTTTGCTGGTGCGTACTGAGGTCTTGAACTGCAGAAAACAAGCAGGTAGAAGTAATGTTTTCCTTTACTAGACCCCAGTTTTTCAGTCAACACAGTTACTTGTAAAGCTATACTACTGTTTTCCTTTGAGGTCCATCCAGTGCTAGCACACTGGTGCTCATCCGAGTATCCGCCTTGTTTAACGGGAGACACAGACAGTGAAGCAGCCCCACTTTGCCCATCAAACTCCTCCCGTGCGAGTAACACGGGGGATGGCGGCTGGGTGCAGAGGGCACACCGAAACATTCATAGCTTCTTTCCGTGCAACAGAGCCTTTTAAAATAGCCTATAAAAATTGCTTCAGATGGCACCTCTCAGCCACCCGTGGATCGCCATGCCTTGTATGTGAAAACTCCCAGCCCAGTGACCCGGCTGGGAGACGCCTCCTGCCCAGCTGTTTCTGAGAAGACTCTAACAAACATCTACAAGTTAGTGTCAGAAAAATGAAGAGGGGGAGGCGGAAGGACTACAAACATTTGGCTTAAAAATAAATACTAATAATGAAATTAACCAAAACAATTATGCAAAAGGAAGGAATTGTAAACGTGAAACAAACACACGCGCACGCAATCCTCAAAGGTCTCAAGACCAACACGGGGACTAATGTTCCGAGAAAGGTATTTAATTGGTATAGAAGGTAGCAAAAAAGACTGAGATGACAGGTGCCTGCCAGTGTGCCTCTGGGTACCTGAGGGAGCCGTGGTGGTTGTAACCAGAGCCCCTGCTCCTGGGGAATGTGCAAAACCCACCTCAGGTCAAAGCCCTCCCAGGGCTTGACCCAAGGATGCTTGCTGGTCCCTGTGCAGGAGGGCTTCACCCGACCACGCGCTTCCCACCTCGATTTCCACCCCACGGACCTTACCCTGAAGTATCAGGTAATCTTTCTTGTGTGGTTTTTCATGTTTTTTCTTTGAATGCCATAGTATTTAGACTTTCCTTAATATCCCCAGAATACGGACTCTGTTTCTCTGTAGGAATCTTTTTTTTTTTAATCCCCAATGGTTTAAGAGAAAAAGCTTGGAAACATGAGTGCTAAAAAGATTAAATAAACAGAAGGCAGGGAAAAAAATCATACATTTGTTATGATTTTAAAACCAAGCCATCTTAACCAAAGCTTTTGGGCAGGTTTTGGGCACGGCTTGGCAATACTGCAGACCCTTCCCTCAGCTGCAGCAGGATCGTGGCAGACAGCCTGAACTCGGTGGGACAGAAATTGCCTCTCCTCCTTCTCCACAGCAAGAATAAGATATAACATACTTCTGCTGTTCAGTAGCGTTTTGGCATTTGCCACTTCATGTATATTATGCATACACACTTCTCCCAGTCTGCTTCAGGGAAGTTCCTTCCATATTAAAGCAGGACAGGACTATAAAAGATGAACATTGCCTCAGCAGAAATTCATCCTGCTTGGTTGAACTGTGTGGCCTTTCTAATCTCCAGAGTACACATTGATTTTTTTCTTCCTTTTTTAAATAGAAATAGGTAAGTTGCATTTTTCAAACATGAAGCCCTACGTTTTTGCTTGAGACAGACTTCTTCAGCAGAACAACATTCAAATCAAATTCATCTTCTATGCCCACAAGCAAAATGTTCATCAACCCTGCTGTAAAATCCATTTTCAAATACAATGACTGTATACACACTTTTACAGCACTATTGTGTACTTCTTAATCTCCTTCCTTCTGAAGATCCTGAAGCATTTTAAAATAACTTGGTCCCATAGCACCCCTGTGAGGTAGGTGAAATATCATTATTCCCATATATACAGATTGGGAAACTCAGCCACACAGAAGGTAAGTCATGCCCAAGATCATGCAGAGATACGGCAGATCTGTGAATAAAACCAAGCTCTCCTGGATCCCTCTCCTATCTGTTAGATGTAAGACCATCTTCCCGTCCTTAATTTTAAATTAAAAATAGATGATGGATGTTGAAAGAATGATTTTGTTTTATCGGGCTCTCAGAAGAGCAAACATACAGGCAGAGATGGGTTTTTCATGGTGGTGACTAAGATTTTCCCCATTCTGAGAAGGCTCCTGGAGCTGAAGTACAGTTGTGGAGCACACCCTTACTATTTTCACATGTCCCCAGGAATGTAAGGAAATTGCTGAATTCTTCTGCTAGTTTCGTAGTTAATGAAAAATTATTGGCTGCACCCTGCTGGTATGAATGCCTTTGCGCTACTGCAGCAACACCAGCAGATGGTCCAGTCTTTCTGCTATGAATTCCTTGCTTAATCTTCCTGATTTTTACAATTTGTGGGTTTTGGTGAAAAACTGACACATTTCTAAATATCTATTATTAGAATAATGAACCACTGGAGACTAAGCAAACTGGAACAGCAGAAGGCGCCCTTGATGCACTGAGTATCTAAAATAAGTGCCCTGATCCACATGATATGTCATCTTACCATGGAGAAGTACAATACATAGGAAACTAGAAAACGTGTTTTTCTTTTTACAGATTAAAATTTAAAAAGTAAGAAATCTGTGTTAAGTCACGACTACAGAGAAACTAGCTCCCTGTCACCTGATGCAGAACCTCAGCCGCTAGGAAATCTGCCATGGATCATAGAGAGGTCAATGCTTGAATACTTCACTTCTGCAAATATAGAAAGGCTAAAATGCTCGCCTTATACCTATTCCTAGAATAGAGACGGATATTGTAAGTTGTCCCTCCTCTGGATTCATGGAACAGATTACCCAGAAAGGGCAACTAGACAGATAGCACAGATGAATTCGTTGTCTTTCCCTCACCAAACCCAAGGTGCTAGCAAAAATGTGTCAGGGTGTTGCTACCACGAGTAACCCATCTATTTGGTGCAAACAAACAAATCTTAGAGAGAAATTAACAGTGACTGCACAAGTGCATTTGCTGTAAAAAGGCGTTTTTTCCACAACTGGTGTGGTTTAGGCATAATATCACTCAGGTGGGTGCAAAAACACCCTTCTATGAATTTCTTATTGTAATTTCAGCTTATATATTGAATATCTTTCACAGGTAGTTTGACATTAACTGATTCATATACAGCAGTTTGTATTGCAAACATGCTGCTCATATCGTAAACGAGGGACTGGCATCTCCTTGCAATGAACACCCTGGAACAATTAATTTGTATTTTCATGAGCTTTCCTTATTTGCTACCTTGCAACTCACTGGTGTAACTGCACCTGGTAAATACCTTTCTCTATGTACAATACAGAGATAATGGACATACGAGTTCCACTGAATCATCAGTAGGTGACCAACAGCCCTGGGTTTAAGCAACTCTAACGTGAGGCTCCTCTTCTGTCTCCTGCCCCAGGCTGGTGTATGTTACCGAAGGCTCCAGCTGGCCAGTGGCTGGCAGGTCTACAACAGGTCCTGAAGGGTTTCGAAACTGCTTGTACACCCGAGGATCCTGGGCTACGTAGGTGGACGTGGAGGAGTAGAGCACCAGCCCAACAAGGATAGTGAAGAATGACAACAAGTAAAGTCCTGAAAACTAAGCAGAAATAAGAGTAGAGTCATTAGACACCGGTTATCCTGAGCTCATGAAGACCCACAGACAGGGGTAGGCACAGATCCTTGTTTTGGCGTGAAAGGCACAGAACAAACCCCCTACCACTGGAATGTCCATTTTTTATGGGAATGTCTCTTTGAAAGCTTGTTTGCTCCCATTAACTTCCCTGTCTTCCATAACCAACAGCTAACCGGTGCCTTCCCATGCCCCAGACATCTTAAGTATTGGTCAGGTGGGACTTGGGAAAGCTGGGTTCTGGTCACAGATCCAACGCTGACTTTGTTGTGCTTTCAGACAAGCCAACGACTTCTCTGAGTGCAAGTTTCTCTGGCTCCAGTGTGGGGTACCATCATCTACAGTTGTCTGCCAGGTAGTGGACAAACCTGAAGTTAATTACAGCTAAACCACAGGTCTGTGAAGTTTAACATGCCATTGGTAATATAAAAAGATAATTAAATAAGCATTTAAATGATTTAAATAAACATTTAAAACATATATACTTAAAAAAATATTTTAATAGAGGCACTTAAAAAGCCCACCTGCAGCTTCTCTTGCTTGTAAACAGAAAGCAGACGCTAGAAGATTAATGTGATTTTGGAGAGGATGAACGTCAGCTGTGAAACATGCGCTAGGTTGACCTCAAGAGGTTTGAAAGTACATATGGAGGGCAGTTAACCAACAGCTTGAGTACACATACTTTGGCACACAGCTTCACTAGCTCAGAGGTCAGCCTGAACTTTCTGACATATCCAGACTCTGTGTGCCTGGACTAAAAATACAACAGAAATAACCTTTTTGGCAATATGTTAGTCCTTACCGGTAAAGGTAAAGGCAGGGATTTAAAAGTACAGACCATTGTATATTAGCTTTAGATACTGGGTTTCTACTACGGGGGACACAAAAATGGCTTTAAGCCCATATGACTTGTCTCCTGATCCTAGACTTCAAGTTATTTTTTCTTGCATGCCATGTGTGAGAAGCCACGAAGGACAAATTGCATAGCCAGTTTGTTGGTGGGGATATTGAACTGGGGACATATGCATCAGTATTCACGTGACTTTAAAAAGCGCCTGTATTCTGCAGCTGTCAGGGATCTGTGCTTAAACACCAACAACTAGCTGCAACCTGTTATTAGCTGCTTCCTGAGGTACTTCACTATTTTACATAAGGGTGCCTGCAAGTCTGTTTTTTCATCCTGACTACAGTACTTTGATGGATGCCCAACTTGTTTCCTTTGGATCATTTTAGCACGGCACAAAATGGATAGACCGGACTATATTATGTAAGAAGAAGCTTTTTAGCAATTCTGCTTTTTATATTTAAATAAATAATCATTACGGTGAAAGCAAATTTTACTTAAGCTAACTTTGTAGCGATGTTAATCTGTTGTCATTTAAAAGACCTACACACCTGAGGAAGCATTTGGCTTTTTTAAAGAATCCACAGTATCTTTGAAAGCTTTGGGCATATAAGCCATGGGGATGTATGTTTTTCTCTCCCACAGCTAGCATGCACGTTTTAGAGGGAAAGCACCATAATGGGGAAAGTTTAAAGTGTGTCAGAAGGATTACAGGGAGGAAGAGTTCTGCTTTTCATCAGCTGTTAATTGCTTTTTTCCAGGAATGTCACCAGGTCTTCACGTGTCATCTGGCAGTATCATTTGATGTAATCACCAGCTGTCCCACCAGCCACAAAGACAGTGTCGAGCTTCACCCTGCGTCTGCTGAAGGATTCCCCCATGTGACGCAGCTCTGAAAGGACTGTTTAGGCTTAGATCTCCCCCATGTGGCAATCAAACCCAAGTCAACCATTTCAAAGCATTTTCCAACTGATTTTTTTCCCCATTTTCAGTTCAATTTTGCTCTCAGCACTTTCCCCCCAACTTGCTCTTTGCATGTGAACTTGGGTAACACTTGGCAGCAGTGGACTTGACTAAGCTGACACAAAACTCGGGAGCCAAATGCATCTACAGTTTCCCAAACCGGGAACTAGCTCCCCAATTCCCCTCTGTCCCTCCTTCCCACCTTATGCCTGAATTTCTCACCCCAGACAGCCAGCTGGCTCGCTCCACTGTATAACCAGAGTGCCAGCCAGATTTGTGATTGCCTTGTGTCCTGCTGTGAGGAATCTGTGGGGCTTCCAGCAGCTAAATGTGCCCTTTTTCTTGCTCTAGGAGCTGCCCAGCCAGAACCAATTCACTTTCGCTTTAGTTCGTGGCTCCAGCTCTACCATATCCCCCTCCTCCTGGCCATGCCTCTCATTTCTCTCTCAGCAGCTTTCTGCCAGTGGGCTCTTTCGCCCGATAATATTCTCTCCATGGCAGTGTCCCTCCCAGTGGCAGCTCTCCAGTCTGGGAGAACGGGTTTGAATGAAGCTGGGGGAAATCTAAACAAAGGCCCGTGAATCATTCGTCTTTGGTATCTATGCACAGCTAGTGCAAAGAGACCTGGATCCTGACAGCCCTATAACAATTCCATCTTTACCTTCCTTAGAAACAAGTTAAGGTTCAGGCTGAATTGTTTTCTGCAGCACTGAAGTAGAAGGGTTGTTAGTAAGGTTAATACAGGAATATATACTGTAGGTGTATGAGAAATCTCTGGTTTTTGTCAATACTCTGTCAGATTGACCAAAGCCCCTTGAAATCAATGGGTATTTTCCTCCTATTAAAACGGCAGTGAATCCAGCTGTGTGATGGGAGGATGCAGACTTACTTAGTTCATCAAATACAAAATTTCTTGTTCACTGTACAAATATTTCTAGCTGCAATCTTTGTATTTTACTGAAGATAGGATTTCCAGGCACACTCTACTGCTATTCTACATGTAGGTTTTGGAGTTTTTTTTATCTTGACCTGCAAACCTCATCTGCTGAGATTCACTATTAATAGACAGCAAAAGAGACACATCCAAAACCAGCCGAAAGAGCAATTCTTAAGAAATGAAGTGAGAGAAGATCATTTTTCATTGCTACCCTCTACGCAACTGCAATACCAAACTGCAGGCTCTCAGGAAGTGTGCAATTCCTCTCTTTGGCTAAAAAGCTACTTGAGAATGATATCCTGCTTCATTTTTTTGTCTTATCTCTCACTTTCTACAGAAACATATTTCCTCTAAGAAAAAATATTTTTAAAATATCCAGATTTGTACCTTTCTCCAAATCCCACTTCCCTCCATGCTAAACAGGATAACTGTAAGCTGTTCAAAGAGTAACACGGTTAGAAATTGTTTAGCTCAGATTAGCCAATGGGTGTCACACACCCTAGAGTAAGCAACCAAAAAAAACCCCTCATGTTTCTATAACATTAAATAATTTGCCTATAGATTTTGTATCTACACATATAGGTACATATGTATATAAGGTTGCTTATCATGTAGTTTATTGAAAGACCAGATGACTTTGTGATTAAATCAATGATCTAACACTCTTGAATCCTGGGATTGATTTTCAGCCTATGAATTTCTTTTGTGAATCAAAATTATTTTAGATGACCCTCAGTTTCTTACCCATTTAAAAGAGACAGTAACACTTGGTTACTGAATAAAGATGAGTTTACAGAATAAAAATGGGAAATAGGGATATCATCCTCTGAGGAGAAGGGAGAGGCCTCCTTTGTAGAGAAAAACTGTCTTAGTTACAATAACATTTCAGATTTCATCACTGACATGAAAGGCATCTGCCAAAACTTACTGAGTAGTCAAATCAAATAGTTAAATCAGCCCTACAGAACTCACCGTGGCTGCTCTGCTCTGACATCTGGGTGTCTATAAATGCTTTCCCAACCGGAAGTATTCAATATGGAACACACAGTGATATTTACAAACATTAAAAGATTAAGAAAACATAAAAAACAGGTCTTCTCTAGGCATTATTTAGTACCTGTGGTGAAAATAGCTTACACTAAACTACCATTAATTTTCAGCGTATAAAAAGCACATTTTAGGTGCCTGTCAATTTGAAGATAAACATACAAAGCAAAACCTAGACAAATGTAATGAGATAACATGTATAACAAGATTTGCTCAGTCTATCAAAACCTGCATTGATTCTGGGTGAGTGATTGTTTCTGGTATTTATCTAAGAGATGTCCCTTAGGGACCCGGTACTTGAATGCATTTGCCCAGCGAGGCTTAGCAGAAGAGCTAATGGCACCTGATGGCCTAGCTGCAGGAGCAGGGGTCTCGCTCCTCGCTCCGATACGTGCTACTGCAGAACCCTGCCAGAAAACCACTGCAGCAGTAAGGTCTAGCTGACCACCGAAAATAAATGGTGAAATCAGTCTGACTTTCTGTTATCCACGCACAAATTCTTTTACATTAAAAAAGAACAGAACCCAAACATATCTGCAGTGATTTTTTTTTTTTTTTTAAATAAAAGACCTTACAGCAGTGTTACATAAAATTGTGGATGAAGTTTAGAAAACCCATTCAAATTTTAGTTTATATACAGTATTTTTGTTCCAAGTGAATCAAAATTAGGCGTTTTGGGAGTAAGTCAAGCATCACAAGATTTCTAAAATAAAGAACAACAACATAAAGGCATCTGATAACTTTATATTTTAAAAAATCCAGAATGAACAATTAAGCCTTTCAAAATTTACTCCCCGCTATTTCTTATCCCCTGCTTCTTGTTATCTCCCCGTGCAAAACTTGTCTTTCATATACCCTGAAACCATTATGGCTACAAGAGTACTACTATTTCCACTTGAAAGTCTTGTGCTTTAAAGTAATCCAGTTAAAAAGATAGGTGCAAAATAAACTTCTTGGTGGGGAGCAAACAGTGCATCTGGTTTCATCATCTTGAATAATGATAAGACAATGACAGTAGAAGAAAGAAAAACTGTTCAGAAGGCAGTAAATTCATGCCTGGGTCTGGAGAGAGGGAGTCGTTCTTCAGTACACAGGTCATGAATTTAGAAGGAAAAGCAGAAAGAAAGGGCATAGAAGAATTGCTGTATCACAGCTAGGAAACACTGCACTGACTGA